GTCGTAACGGGGCCGGCGCTTCAGACGTTATATCGAAGCTCTCTTCGTGCTCTACAACTGCCACGGGAACGGGGACAACCTTTGGTGTCGTAACGGGGCCGGCGCTTCAGACGTTATATCGAAGCTCTCTTCGTGCTCTACAACTGCCACGGGAACGGGGACAACCTTTGGTGTCGTAACGGGGCCGGCGCTTCAGACGTTATATCGAAGCTCTCTTCGTGCTCTACAACTGCCACGGGAACGGGGACAACCTTTGGTGTCGTAACGGGGCCGGCGCTTCAGACGTTATATCGAAGCTCTCTTCGTGCTCTACAACTGCCACGGGAACGGGGACAACCTTTGGTGTCGTAACGGGGCCGGCGCTTCAGACGTTATATCGAAGCTCTCTTCGTGCTCTACAACTGCCACGGGAACGGGGACAACCTTTGGTGTCGTAACGGGGCCGGCGCTTCAGACGTTATATCGAAGCTCTCTTCGTGCTCTACAACTGCCACGGGAACGGGGACAACCTTTGGTGTCGTAACGGGGCCGGCGCTTCAGACGTTATATCGAAGCTCTCTTCGTGCTCTACAACTGCCACGGGAACGGGGACAACCTTTGGTGTCGTAACGGGGCCGGCGCTTCAGACGTTATATCGAAGCTCTCTTCGTGCTCTACAACTGCCACGGGAACGGGGACAACCTTTGGTGTCGTAACGGGGCCGGCGCTTCAGACGTTATATCGAAGCTCTCTTCGTGCTCTACAACTGCCACGGGAACGGGGACAACCTTTGGTGTCGTAACGGGGCCGGCGCTTCAGACGTTATATCGAAGCTCTCTTCGTGCTCTACAACTGCCACGGGAACGGGGACAACCTTTGGTGTCGTAACGGGGCCGGCGCTTCAGACGTTATATCGAAGCTCTCTTCGTGCTCTACAACTGCCACGGGAACGGGGACAACCTTTGGTGTCGTAACGGGGCCGGCGCTTCAGACGTTATATCGAAGCTCTCTTCGTGCTCTACAACTGCCACGGGAACGGGGACAACCTTTGGTGTCGTAACGGGGCCGGCGCTTCAGACGTTATATCGAAGCTCTCTTCGTGCTCTACAACTGCCACGGGAACGGGGACAACCTTTGGTGTCGTAACGGGGCCGGCGCTTCAGACGTTATATCGAAGCTCTCTTCGTGCTCTACAACTGCCACGGGAACGGGGACAACCTTTGGTGTCGTAACGGGGCCGGCGCTTCAGACGTTATATCGAAGCTCTCTTCGTGCTCTACAACTGCCACGGGAACGGGGACAACCTTTGGTGTCGTAACGGGGCCGGCGCTTCAGACGTTATATCGAAGCTCTCTTCGTGCTCTACAACTGCCACGGGAACGGGGACAACCTTTGGTGTCGTAACGGGGCCGGCGCTTCAGACGTTATATCGAAGCTCTCTTCGTGCTCTACAACTGCCACGGGAACGGGGACAACCTTTGGTGTCGTAACGGGGCCGGCGCTTCAGACGTTATATCGAAGCTCTCTTCGTGCTCTACAACTGCCACGGGAACGGGGACAACCTTTGGTGTCGTAACGGGGCCGGCGCTTCAGACGTTATATCGAAGCTCTCTTCGTGCTCTACAACTGCCACGGGAACGGGGACAACCTTTGGTGTCGTAACGGGGCCGGCGCTTCAGACGTTATATCGAAGCTCTCTTCGTGCTCTACAACTGCCACGGGAACGGGGACAACCTTTGGTGTCGTAACGGGGCCGGCGCTTCAGACGTTATATCGAAGCTCTCTTCGTGCTCTACAACTGCCACGGGAACGGGGACAACCTTTGGTGTCGTAACGGGGCCGGCGCTTCAGACGTTATATCGAAGCTCTCTTCGTGCTCTACAACTGCCACGGGAACGGGGACAACCTTTGGTGTCGTAACGGGGCCGGCGCTTCAGACGTTATATCGAAGCTCTCTTCGTGCTCTACAACTGCCACGGGAACGGGGACAACCTTTGGTGTCGTAACGGGGCCGGCGCTTCAGACGTTATATCGAAGCTCTCTTCGTGCTCTACAACTGCCACGGGAACGGGGACAACCTTTGGTGTCGTAACGGGGCCGGCCCTTCAGACGTTATATCGAAGCTCCTCATCATTTATAGCTAAAATATTCCGTTTGATGAACTACGAGTTCTAATATTAAGGGGCTTATAAGTAATTGACAATTCATCAAGATTTTTTTTTATTGTTTTTATTATTTTCTTAGAGAGTGACAATCCAAGTCATTAAGAAGCGATTATAATGTTTCCTGGCTAATTATAGGAGTTCACTACTTTCTAGCAATATAAAAGAATAATTATTAGAGTTGATAATTACATTGGAATAATATATATGTAGAACTAAAAATGGAATCAATATCTATAATTAGAACCGGCCGTTTTCTTTTCCTTTTTTTTAACAAATTAATATCCTTTTAGAGTTTCACTTTGGTTATCATTAATTAAAAGTTTTTCATTTGTTATATTTGAATCGGATTCATTCATTTCATGTAGGTCGTTGTTTTTCAATAACTTCCTAGATGACTATATATACTTGAATTTGCTAATTTTAGCATCTGTTAATTTCTTTTCTCTTTAAAATGCATGAGATTTACATCGTACATATATATATATATTCTAATACGCATATATTAGAGTAATTTGATCATATGGGGATGATGAATAATACATGATGCCGAAGTTAGAAATGCAACTATGGGCCGTGGCCTGGGTTGGTCCAGGCCCATCCTAATATAGTATTGGGCCGGCACAATACGATAGGACACTATTTAAGGCACGATCTTGTCTATTAATATTGGTGGATTGAGCTGAATTAGCACACCTCTACTCATGGGATGACACGGCACGACTTGTAAAAATTCATGAGCCATACTGGCCTTAAGCTGGACCGGGTTGGCCTGTTTCAGCCCAAAATAGATTGACCATCCAATGCCTATTTTAGCGCAATTTTTAATATATATAATACATATAGTATTTTCTTATAAAATATTTACTATATATCTTGCTTATATATATAATATATATAGTCATGTTTACTGTCACTAATAGTACGTTGTAATTATGAATAATAATTATTTTTATTGTTTTATGTGTTTTTGTTTGCTTAATTTTTATTTAGTAATCTTAGAAACAACTTATATGTAATTCTTGCGAATGTATTTTTTTGTCCTTATTCAAATTTTGTTCTATTGGGTTCCTCTTTGAAAATATTTTTAATGAGACATACATAAATAAAATATTTTTATATTTTCATTGACTATTTAAATTTTTATATTTATTAACTTGTTTAGAAATTTAAAAATAAATATTTAAAAAAATAAAAAATTAGCAAAATGCATGTTAAGATGGGCTAGCCCATCTACCAATAAAAGATGAGATGACCCATCTACACATCCAATTTAAAAACTCGAATTCTAACTTTTTGTGTAATAACTGATAATGTGGCATGTGAGTTATCATTCTTATATTAGTAGTATTTAAAATATTTTCACGTCAATAAATGATATGAGATTACATTTATTAATAAAAAGAGGATATTAACACCTTTTTAACTGGTATAGTTATTTAACTAAAAAATATATTAATTAAGAATAAAGATAAAAATCTAAATCCATACATTCAAATGGGATTTATCTCTTTTATTTTCTTAAAAAATTATGTTATTAACTTACAAAACACCGGATCAAATATGTGATTTTACTCATTCAAATGTTATTACCTTTTCAATCAAACAGTTGGGTTCTGGGTTCCTAATACGAACGACGCTCCATCATACATCTTATGGAGTACAGCAGTTGGTAAGAGTGGCATCATCTGTTGATTGCTGTTGTCTCTCTGTGCGGTGTCTACTGCTGTTTACTGGCGATGCTGAAAAAGAAAATTTAACGTAATGCTTTCCAACAAGACTGCACGCAGAAGAATCCATAAATAGTAGTAGTGTACTAATTATAAATCTACAGTTTGTTGTCTTGTTGAAGATAAAAAAACTTTTTTGAGATTGTGGTTGACAAATACACTAGTTGTTGCATGTCATGTTGAAGACAACTCGTATAAGCATGCAAGGAGTAGTTTTTCTTCATTATTATTATTATCGTCATTTATTTTCTCCCATTTCATTATTATACATATCATTTCCTTATGATTGTCATTTTTTCTTATTCTTCTTTTTTTTAAACTAATCTTTTTCAAGGAGAGAGAGAACGGAAACCAGGAGAGAAAATAACTTAGGGCTTGTTCTTTTGAAAAATTCAAAAAAAGATAACTCGAGTTATAACTTTATTCGAGTTCATATTCTTTTAAGTTTAAACTCGAGTTTAAACTCGAGTTCAAACTCGAATTTAAGACTAAAACTCGAGTTCAAGTTTCCCCTTCAACTTGAGCTCAGAAACTCGAACTCAAATTAATGAACAATATTTTTTCTATTCTTAAAAATAATATACCTTTTTCGTTTTAATTCTGATTGAGATGATTTTTTTTTTCTATGCGTTGACAACGAAAAGACGAATAAAACCCGACCCATATACCCTATTAAAATTTTTCATCAGCATTGAATTTTTATTAAAATACTATCTAAATACAAATTTAAGTTTTGACTCACTCAAACACAAACTCAAAAAGATTCTTATCTCAAATCATAACTCAAATGTACACAACTAAACACAAACTCAAGTTACAAGTTCAACTCAAGTTATAACTCAAATTCAACTCAAAAATTATACTCAAGTTAAACTCTAAAAGAACAAACCCTTAAACAGCTGCACAAAAACTTAAATCATCAATTAATCATGTCTATTCCCCATTTATTTAACCTTTAGCACATCTTCCTGATTTTCCCTTGGAGATAATCAACCCAAACTCTTCACTGCATATAAATTACTAAAATCCTGATCAGTCACTATGAACTTCTAAATAAGAAGGAAACAGAGAGAGAGAGAGAGAGAGAGAGAGAGAGAGAGAGATATTTAAAAAAAAAAAAACGTTTAAATGATCATCCATATAAAATTCCCATAAAATCAAAGCATTTCGCTTGTTAAAACAGCGAAATAAAAATATCAAAAGTATTTTAATGCTGCAAAATATCAGATGCGCAAAATTATTGGCTAATGACAGCAGATTTGGGGTGCTACAATATTAGCTGAAGGATGAAGGAAAAAGATATGATCAATATATGGAAAATTCAAGCTGGAGAATGAGAGTTTTTTGTTGCTGAATACTTTGAAAGAAGAAAAGAAAGGTGCTCATCCAACGTAACTTGTTTAACTCACAAGGCCTCTCTGCTTGAACACATCAAGCATGGCAGACCCAATTTTCGCAGGAGACTCCACCACCGTCACTCCAGCTTCTCTCAGAGTCTTGATTTTGTCTTGTGCCGTACCCTTTCCACCCGAAACGATGGCTGCACAATCACAAGATGCCAGAAAAGTCAATTAAACCAATAAAAGTAAGCCTTCGGACACAAACATTCATTTATTAGTTAGTTTTGTTGTGAAAATATATTCTCACAACAGAATCATATTATTTTACCTCCGGCATGACCCATACGACGACCAGGAGGAGCAGTTAGTCCAGCAATAAATGCGACAATAGGCTTCTCAGTTCCGCTTTCCTGTTTCATTTGTCAGCGAAATTGTTTTGAGCGCAAACAGAAAAACCCAGCAATAGTCCATATGTAGAGAAAATTTAAAATAAAAATTAATTGACAGGTAAAAGCAATCAATTTCCTCAAAGGGATCAAGTCTCATTCATCACACAAACTTGTTAATCCTAGCCATCAATTTTCTAACTCATCTCTTCCTTCCCATAGAACTAGGGAGAAAGAGTGTCACTAACCAACTCTTTTTTAAGAAAAATAAAATTATGAAGTTATAATACTTGGTAATAAAAGAGAGAATGTAGACTTTGAAATGCACGATCGAGCAGCCCAAGAAGTTGTGATTTAGGATTTTACTTTAAGAAATAAATGGTTCAAAACAAATTTTGCCACTAAGATAAGTTTGGATTGTAAGGAAGTTAGGAGTCGCACCGTAAGAATTTAGGGCTGAAGGTAGGAAAGATTTAGGGGGACTAGGTTTTATACTATAAGATAAAAGTAAATAGAGAGGAATGAACAGGAGGAGGCCAATAGTTACGGGGGTATTGAGAGACTAAATCAAGTAACGGAATCTAGAGTATTTGGTCACATTGCTTTAGAATTTTATGGGTTCAGTTCGCAATTGCCCACGATGGTTCATTCAAAGAAAAAAAGGAACGAGTGGATAAACCCTTGGTAACCAAACCTATGCTTCCTAAGCAAATCACAATAGATTGTAATAAGAGCTTAAGAGTTGAGGCCTGTATGGGATTGCGAACATGAAAAAGAAGAAGAAAAACATATAGCCCCCCGTTTGATTCGCTAGTTCGAATTTTGTTGATTTCTATTTTTTTGTTTGAACACAAAATTCAAACTGTGCGGTTTAAATTGTAGTTCGAATTGCCGTTTAGATGTGCAATTCAAATTTTAATCTGACTAGGGTATAACATTCGAATTTGTGTTTGGTAGGTGTGAAAAGTAGAGAGTAGGCACTTTTTTACTATTAAAAAATAGTTAGAACAGTTGAACTTAAGGGGAGACCTAAACTCTAAGTTCAACAGTTTAACTCAGTTCAAACAGAGAATATAATTCGGACTGTGTGCTTACCAAACACAAGTTTAAACTGTGCTTACTGCTCGAACTGCTAAACCAGTGAAACAAACGGGTACATAGATTCATATTTTCAATCGTGGAATAACAACTCTGTTAGGATCCGTTAATAACTTGGGAACTTGTTTGGTTAGTGGGCTGGTAGAGTTAGTAGGAGTTAGTATAAATAAAGGGCTTAGTAGCTCACTTGGGGCATGTTGTGATTTTGAGAGTTTTGGGTGACTGAGATTAGGGAGAGCGGTGGTCTCTCGAATACCACCAAATTAGGAGTCAGAGTACTCAAATTCTCTGTTCTATCCTTTACATTTCAGTGTAATTTGATGTTCTTGGCTGATTGGATTAATAAAATTCCCTCTGATTATTCTCATTTTCTTACTGTTTCTGGTGTGTGTTGAGTATGGTATTGGTGTTTGGCTGATTTTCTGAGCTAGGTTCCTAACAATTTGGTAATGTTAGGATCCGTTAATGACTTAGGAACTTGTTTGGTTAGTGGGCTGGTAGAGTTCGTAAGAATTAGTATAAATAAAGGGCTTAGTAGCTCACTTAGGGCATGTTGTGATTTTAAGAGTTTTGGGAGACTGAGATTAGGGAGAGCGGTGGTCTCTCTAATACCACCAAATTAGGAGTCTCCGGAGTACTCGAATTCTCCGTTCTATCCTTTACATTTCAGTATAATTTGATGTTCTTGGTGATTGGATTAATAAAATTCCCTCTAATTATTATCATTTTCTTACTGTTTCTGGTGTGTGTGAGTATGGTATTGGTGTTTGGTTGATTTTCTTAGCTAGGTTCCTAACAATTTGGTATCAGAGCAATCGATTCTCGGAGGAAAAAAAAAAAAAAAAAAGAAGAAAAGAGAAAAGAGTAAATGGAATCAATGAAAGAGAAATTAGAATCGACGCTTCAAAGTGTGAAGCGGATCATTCGATTGTTAGAGGAGCAGGACCGCAAAGCTTGGGTGGCTGAAAGTGGGTTAACGCCGGCGAAGGATACGTGGTTGCAACCAGAGGAACAGCGCCGGCGAACGACGACGAACACGTTGCGATCTGGTTGGAGGGAGTCGCGATCAGATCTGTGCACTGAATATCGGGTTCCGCGATCTGATTGGAATGACGAAGCAAGGGTTTCGAACTGCCGAACCATGATGGAGTTAGAGTGTCAATGTCGACGAACGACGCTAGATGGGGCGCAACAAGATCCGGAATTGCGCGAGGTCGAAGATTGGGAAAAATCTTGGCGATCTGGAGCTAGATCGTCTAGATCTAAAGTGAATGGCAGTAGATTCGCGACAGAATTGAGCGTCGCCAGGGCTGCACTTCGCGATTTCAGTACGTCCGAGTCTGATTCCAACCGGACTTGGAAGGGGTCTCGCGGTTCCGGTGCCATTTTAACTCATTCGAGTGCCATTTTAACTCATTCGGGTGCCGTTTTGGCTGATTCCGACGAGTTTGGGGTAATGTCTTGGAATTCAGGCGTGTTCGGGGAAGATTATGCAGCGAATTGGACTGGGTCTCGTGATTCCGTCATGGTTGGGGCAGATTCCGGCCGGGTTAGGACTAAGTCACCTGATTCCGGCGAGATTCAGGTGGATTCCGGCGAAGGAAAGACCAGATCTTCCAGTTACGGCGTGTGCAGGGCCAATTTCGGCATTGTGGCAGCTGGACGTCGCACTTCTAGCAAGATTGGGGTTAAGTTTGACGCCATTGGAGCTGGGTCTTGAAATTCTAGCGAAATTTGGGCCGGAACCTTAAAATGTGAAAATCCACGAAGTGATTTTGGGGCTGATCCTGGGGATTTTCGATCTGATATGGGCAAGGTGAATAGAGTTTCGCCATCTTGTTGGTTAGGAGATCCTAGGGTTTTGAATAGGAGAAGGGGAAGGTGGCGTGACACGCTATGGGAGAACCGATCGGATCGGCGTTTTCAGCGAATGGAGATGCCGATGTTCACAAGAGAAAATGCTGACGAGTGGGTCTCTCGAGCTGAACGTTATTTCTGTTGTATAGGTTGACAGAAAGAGAGAAAATATGGGCGGCAGAAGAGGCCATGGAGGGTGATGCTTTAGTTTGGAATCAATGGCAGGATGGTTGTCAGTTGTTCCGCAATTGGGATGAATTGAAAGCTCATTTACTACTACAGTGTTTCCAATCAACGCAAGAAGAGACCGTCTGTGGGAGTTTCTGGGCGAAAGAGCGAGCGGATACCACGGCTGATTCCGAACGACAAATCAAGGTACTTGTTGCACCTTGGAAAGAGATATCAAATGTAGTTTTTGAGAGAGATATCACTACCAAGTTGAAAGTCAATAAAGAGCATGAAATAGGAATTTCAAGTGGGCTGCTTCGAGCTCACACTAAAGCTGTTTCAGATCAGCAAATTGATGCTCAAAGAGAGTTTCCTTCAAAGAATCTCATCGGGAAGGTGGACCAAGGCGTTGCAAATGAAGATGACTTTCAAACCAATGCCAAGAATGAGGGGCGTCAAGGTGTGTGGAACAAGATCTCAATGACATCAAACTTTCTAAGGATATTGCCATAGAGAATGTGTTTGATGCACCAGTGAAAGAAGTTAAAGAAGGTGGAGGCCATTCTAGTATTTTAAAATTTCTTATTGGTTCGGTTTTTAGCAATTGTGGGGGTGTTGACAAAGGAATGGAGAAAGTACACTTGCATCTTCCTTCCATTGTTGGTGTTTTGAAGAACAGCGAGGCAAAATTCTTGGATACGGTGGAGTATAAACTGCAGCAGGATAAAGCTGGTGAGAGGAGGGTGACGAGTATACACGATTTGATTGGAATAACCAGCAAGCTCTTGCATTCTTATGTGGATAAGTTTTTGGATGAACTTCTGGGATTAGTTGATTTCACTGTGGTTCATTCAGGTTCCAAACAGAAGTGTGAACTTGGCAAAACATGGAAGTTATCAAGAAGATTTGAAGCAAGTTCTGTTTGTTTCATAGAGCTCACAAAGATCTCTGTTTTTTCCCATGTTGATGTACTATTGCAATTTTTTATTCTGGCTTTCACCTTGAGGACAAGGTGAATGTTTAGGCGGGGGGTAATGTTAGGATCTGTTAATGACTTAGGAACTTATTTGGTTAGTGGGCTGGTAGAGTTAGTAGGAATTAGTATAAATAAAGGGCTTAGTAGCTCACTTGGGGCATGTTGTGATTTTGAGAGTTTTGGGAGACTGAGATTAGGGAGAGCAGTAGTCTCTCGAATACCACCACATTAGGAGTCCCCGGAGTACTCGAATTCTCCGTTCTATCATTTACATTTCAGTGTAATTTGATGTTCTTGGCTGATTGGATTAATAAAATTCCCTCTTATTATTTTCATTTTCTTACTGTTTCTAGTGTGTGTGAGTATGGTATTGGTGTTTGGCTGATTTTCTGAGCTAGGTTCCTAACAAACTCTAAGACATCTTTAGTTAAGATTGAAATTTGAAAAAAAAAAATGTCATCTTTAATTCAATTTAAATTGCACTCATTTGGAGACCCCCGAAGAAAATAAAAAAAAAAAAGCATACCTTTATCAATGCAGCAGCATCTTCTTCTGCAGTTCCACCTATCTCTCCTATAAGAATAATACCTGCAAAACACACATCACTAGTAATAAGTGCAAATTTCTTCTTCCCTTATTCCAATCTTTGCTAGTACCTCACACATACATTAATTAAGTACAGAAAATGAAACAAATACGTCAGACTAGATATTAACTGCGCCCATCTTTCTTCTATTCAACTTTTAATGCTAAGATTGTTTTATAACCAAAATACTCAGTTCCATGATCAAAGTATTTAGCTCCGAACAAATCTTGTTAAAACGAAATTCACAAGGCTACTGAAGAGTCAAAGACCAAATCATCCGATCGAAATTAATATAAACTTCCACAAAAAATTCCAGGTTGATCTTTTGCCTCCTGGTTCGCAAACCACAAAAACCAAAATACTACCAGCTTAAGACAAAACCCATGAACCAGTTCAAAACACTTATCACCGTGGGCTCAAAGGAGCTGAGAACTGTTCACAGGAGACTAATACCTTCATTCTCGGTTTCGGCCACAACCTGTGTCTGAACTCTAGAAGGCCAAACAATGGCACAAAAATCCACGCTTGATCACCAGATCCCAAGACAATCAGCAATAGCAATAATGAAAAAGTTGGTTACAACTTTCATAGAGAATCCATTGGCCAACTCCAATGTTGATTACAATGTGAACAACCAAAGCGACTGAAGAGGCACTTGGTAGATCAGTTCTCCCCTCATAAATAACCAGCCTACCAAACTTTTTTTTTTAATAGGAAACAGAGATAAAACCAAATCAGAAGTCATGTAAGATTAGAAAGCAAAGTTTCATTTATGCTATTCGGGATTGGCTAGGTGATCGATGAGTGATTTTTAAGCATACCAACAACCAACCACATAGAAGCAATCTTTTAAGTTCAAGCCCGTCTTCGTTCTTCAAGGAAAATGCCGAGAAAGGGGACGAAGCATGTCACAAGGCCCCTACTGATTAAAGCAAGACAAGACCTATCAGGCAAATCAAAAGGCATCTTTTTTCTTTTTTTTTGGGGTTGCTTATGCACATGTTTCAGCTGCGCCTTGCTTCCTGCAACTGCTAAGATGGCTTGCTAATAATAATGAGTAGGTAACTGGAGTGAGAAAGCCCGGAAGAAGGTATGCAAGAGAAGACGGATACTGTTTTAGTTTAGTGCAATTACTAATTATATTTGTGTCCATTTCAATTTAAATTCCACACCCCCTAATCTCCCTTCCTCGCCTCCCTTTAATACTCCTAATTCACCTCTAACAGACTACTAATCAAACTCTAACAACCAACAAACCAAACTAACTTCGCAAGTCATTAACAGATCCTAACATTCTAACTCCTAATCCCTCCCTTTTATACTAGTAACTCTCTTCTAAATCTAACAACTACTAACAAACAATCAATTCCTTCAACCAACAGGTGGGTCCTATCACAAGCACATAGATGGAGAACTCAATTTCTAATCATACATGACCAAACAAACAGATCCGAGTGGTTGAAAACACAGCAATCTTTAGGCCTCTATCCATGTCCAAGAACAGGTAAGTCGAAGTGAAAACTTTATTCCTGTATTTTTGGACAACTAGTGACTGGGAAAGAGATCCTAGAGGTTGTTAGCCACTTAGCCTCCAGAAATGTATAAACAAATTGGAAGCCTAGGGAATATCGAATTTTAAATAGGTTCAAAAAATTAAATATCGAGGCAGAACTAGGAAAAAATCTGAATCTGCTATTACTCAATCTGCAGCTTAAAGCCCTTCCCTTGCCGACTCCCTGTTTCTAATAAGTAACAATTTTCCAATGAAAATAAGAGCTAGCTGGCTGCTGGCCTGGCACACATCACTTTTATGCAAATAAAACCAAGTCCAAAGGCACCATGCATCCTCATAGATTTCCCATAATTCAACTTTTCAACTATCTACAAGATATTTTTCCAGATTAGCTTGTTGCAATTGCAACGAGAGAAATTCTTTCAAGCCAATAACCCTATCACAGCCTCATCATGACTTAACTTTACGCTTCAGAAATTTAAATGAATAAATAAATAAAGATCAAGCAGTGACATAAACTAACACACCACAGATTAAAAAGAAAAGAAAAGAAAAGAAAACCATTTGAAACAAAATAAACAATCACCTTCTGTTTGAGGATCTACAAGGAATCTATCAATACAATCTACAAAGTTTGTCCCATTGAAAGGATCTCCTCCAATTCCAACACAAGTGGATTGTCCAAGGCCAACAGCAGTTGTTTGGAAAACGGCTTCATAAGTCAAAGTCCCAGATCGTGAAACGATTTCTACACGACCGGGTTTGTGGATGTAGCCAGGCATGATCCCGATTTTGCATTCTCCAGGCTTGATAATACCAGGGCAATTAGGGCCAATCACCCTAGTTTTTGATTGCCTGTTAAGAGCAGCCTTCACTCGTACCTTAAAATGAAATTCAATACCTTATGGATTGGGTTTGGTAATGGTAACAGTTATAGCTTTTCGAAATGAATTATTATTGGGATTAATTAGCAAATAGCAAACCATATCGTGCTGAGGGATTCCTTCAGTGACGCATACAACAAGATCCAACTCAGCTTCCACAGCCTCCATAATAGCAGCAGCAGCAAATGGTGGAGGAACATAAATGACGGAGGCATTAGCTTTGGTCTCAGCTTTTGCTTCCGCAACGCTGTTGAACACCGGAAGTCCCAAGTGTTCCGTTCCGCCCTTCTTTGGGGTGACACCTCCCACCTGTGTTTTACAAAAACCAAAACCAAAACCAAAACCAAAAGGAACTTGGTATGAGTCATAAACAAACCTACCTTAAACAATCAAAAAGTTATAAGCCTATCTACTCCAAAACCACATAACATCGTAAGTTATAGTTGTCGTCATTAAAAATCAAAACCTGACTTCGCAAACTGAAAGACAAAAGGGTCTCCTCGAGATCACACAAATTCACAATTTGTTTAGAGCCCAGCCAGCCCACTTAAAATGACACCCAGAGCACTTTGTTGTCTTCCACATTTTGGAAGAGGCTTTTATCGAATAATAAAACAATTTATTGGGTGAGGAAAAATTCAAAATACGGGAAATCCTATATATATTTAATTAAGTAGGAAGAGCGGATTATAAAAAATAAAAAAAATGAATTCTCACATTTCATCAGTAGCTATAGCTATAAGAATCATTTACTTTTGCTTGCTTTGGTTGGTAATATTACATTTCTTATTTTTAAAAATTATAGCTCTAATCAAAATAAAATTAAAAAAAAAAAAAGAGCCAAAACCATGGAATTGAAAAGTGAAGATTATATATGTATATCCTAAAAGCAAAGCAATGAATAAAAATACCATTTTGGTGCCATACTCGATGGCTTGCTCGGTGTGGAAAGTGCCGTTCTTTCCAGTGATGCCTTGGCAGATGACGCGGGTGTTCTTGTCCACAAACACCGCCGGCGGAGGCGGAGGAGCGGCCGCGTAATGACGGAGGCTCTGCATTGAAATTGCATTCAAAGATCTACTACGCGACGCGCCGATCAAACCGATCAGCTTCCCCAGAGCCTGACGACCCATTTTATTTTACGACAACCAGAGAGAAGATCAAGAGAGAAATCAAAATCAAAATCAAAATCAAATCAAAACTGCCCTCTTCTCCTTCTTCTCTGTCTCACGCCTACTGCTCTAACTCTAACAAGGAAAGGAATGGCAAGGAGAAGAGAATCGGCACAGGGGGAAGGGAACGGGGGAGAAAGGAAAAGGAGAAGTGGGCTTCTCTTCTTGACCAGGTTTGTGAATAATATGGGCCTGGTCCATCTAAGCCTGTTTTGTTAAACCATTTATAGTAAATAGCATAGTTACCAACACTAAAAATAAATACGAAAATAGTAAAAAATATGCGAATATGAAAAATTTAAAAAAGTATATAGATTAATTTTTAGTTATAAAAATTAATAGATCATAATTTGTCAAGTTATGATTTATAATTAGATAAATTATGGATAAATTTGTTAAGTTATGGTTTATAGTCAGACAAGTTATGGACAAAAATCACGAATTATGGACAATAACTTGTCAAGTTAAGGTTCATAACCAGACAAGTTATGGACAAAACAGTAATTTAGCCTATTTATTAACTTATGTAAACTATTAGGCTATTAATTTTAATTCATCTCAAGTCTTTGCCTATTTTCTTCTTTCTCCCAAATAAATAACGCATTTAAAATTTTTTACATGTTGTGTTTCAATTTTACCTTTAATTATATTTTGACCACTTAATTTTTAAATATTTATATTTTGACCACTTAATTTTTAAACATTTACTAGGTTAATTTTTTATTTACCAGCCATTAGGGTGTTTTTATAAAGTTTTTAAAATTTGGGTTAAAATGTAATTTGTTTTAAAATTAAGAGATCAAATTATAATTTTTTTAAAAAAATAAAGGATCAAATTAAGATTTTATAAAAGCTGAGGGGTGAATTTGTAATTTTTTAAACATTTAAGGGGGCAAATTTTCAAATATGATTTTTTAAAAGTTAAGTGGTGAAACTGTAATTTGCTGAAAATATTGAGGGGTCAAATTTTACTTCTTAAAAAATTGATGTCAAAACTTTGACTTTTTTTTATTTATAAAAATATTAAAACCTTACAACTTTTGGACATCGCAAATATCATACTTCAAAATGAAATATGCACACACATCTAGGGACGGCAATACGGGTCACGACACGACAACACGAATCGAAATCGACACGAAAATTACGGGTTAGGGTTGATAAAAATGGGGTGCGGGTCGAAATCGGATCGACTCGAAATTGACACGAACAAAACGGGTCGTTTTTGGGTTGGACCCGTGTGACCCGAAATTGACCCGCAATTCAATTTCGTGTCAATTTCGGGTTCAAACCCGAAACTGACCCGTAGTGACCCGTATGAAAAAAAATATATATATATATTGTTGGAAATGTGTCCATAAAGTATGGTGTATTTTGTTATTTATGAAATGGCAAATATCGGACATCATTATTTTTGTTGATGTTTATAAATAAAATAAAGTTATGTTTTGATTCATACTCAAGAGTGTTAGTAATATTGCTTAGTCTATAAACTGTTATCAATGAAAGAAGAGTCAGGGGATCCCTGCCGGACAAACTCTTTTGATGTAGTTTAAAAATTGATATTCGCAGTCTTAGGATCGACTAGGCTATCGAATCTGATTATGACTGTTAGATCGAACCATGTGATGCTGGTCTCGGGGCATGGGAGTTGGACTCTGTGTCACGATCCCAAGGATAGGGCCGTGATTATCTTAAAATTTAACTTAATTAAACTTGACTGTTTAACCAAATCACAAAATAATTACATAAATATCAATATAGTTTGCTCCGGAGACTTTATTTCACAAATAATATTTAGAATAGTTCATTAAGTCCAAGAAAAATAATACAACTCAGGGACAATGTCGACCAATACAGTTTACATACAGAAATACAGTACACCTCAGAATTTAAAACCGTAAATCTGAATAAACGTACCGCTTCAAATTTCGCACCTTCAATCCATTGGCATCCACTTGTCACGCTGCAAATCTAAACCGCTAACTCTAGAGGAGGGGTTTAAAACATTGAAAACATAATGAAAGTGAGCGGAATGCCCAGTAGGATATAATTTTTATAAACACATTTTAAATAAAGGTACTCACGGTCCGAAGACATACACCCGGAACCGATCATCCTTTTTAGAAAAGGAAATACTCACATAGTAGAAAATATCTGTATAATGAAAGTTTGCAGCTCATCGTACCACTAAACAAGGAGCGGTAAAATGTCTGTCTAGTGAAAAGTGCAGAGCCATAATTCCACCAACAAGAAATGGATCCGTACGAGTTTCGGGACCTGCCCCTAAGGATGCGATTCCCACATCCCGATCTCTGAGGCCACCATGCATTGTATCATTCCTTAAAGTATTTCATTTTAAGAAATGATACTCTTTAAAATCTCATTTCTAAAATCATTAGAAAACTTAATAGCATTCTCATGCTATTCCTTTGAAATCATTTTCTTTAAACATGTTTTGTTCTAAAACATTTTCATTGGCCAAAATCATTTAAAATGAGGCTAACAAGGATATGGACAAGAATATCCTACCTCTCGGATGTCAAACCTAGG